GTGATAAAAATTATAAATATTGTCCTACACTTGATGAATGGGATATAAGAGAAAAAATTATGGGGTTCTTGAAGCCATTTTATGATATTACTGAGTTGATTTCTGGCACATCCTATCCTACTGCCAACTTATACTTTTTGCAAGTTTGGCAAATTCAATGTAGTCTCCAGAACACATTACATGATGATGATGACATTTTAAAGAGCATGGCTGAAAGAATGATGGAAAAATTTGACAAATATTGGGAGGAATATAGTATTGTGCTTGCACTAGGAGCGCTTCTTGACCCACGGATGAAGACTTCTGCTTTGTCTTATTGTTATTCCAAAGTTAATCCATTGACAAGTGAAGCAAAAGTAGAAGAAATAAAGAAAAATGCATACAATCTCTTTGACAATTATGCATGTCACATTCCTCCCTCTTCAAATGCTCAAAGTCAAAGTCTCAGTGATGTTACAAGTGCATCTTCAAGTAGGTCAATATCAAAAGAGAAGAAGGGATTTTCAGAAATCATGCTCCAAGTAAGTTTATTTTAATTTGAAATAATAATTTATTTACTTACATTGCATTTTTTAAAAACTTATATTTTTATGTGTTTAACTTGTCAAATATGGTAGGAATTGAAAAGCACAATCAGCCCTTCAATGCAGCAAAGATTGGAAAATCTCAACTTGATGTTTATCTGGAAGAGGAGAATTTGGAGTTTGATGATGATACATTTGATATATTACAATGGTGGAAGGGGAAAGCTAAACGTCTTCCAAATCTATCACTAATGGCTCGTGACTTAAGCATTCCTATTACCACTGTTGCATCTGAATCTGCATTCAGCATTGGGTCTCGGATCCTTAATAAATACAAAAGCAGTCTCTTACCTGAATGTGTTGAAGCTTTGCTTTGTACCCGTAATTGGCAGAATGGTTTTTCCGGGACTGGTAATTTATTTAATTTGAATTCATTTTATATTGAACCATACTTGTTTGTAAAATTAATTATTATTATTTTTCAATTATTATTTATATAGATGAAGGTGCCTCTGATGAGAAGATTGATGAATGATGACGATGACAGTTAATGTTTTGTTGGAGCTTCTTCAAAGCAATGAATCAAAAATTAGTATGTGATTTTTTTTTTCAATTTGAATGGACATTTGTGTGTATTGCAGTTAAACTTGATAACTAGTTTCATGAATTAATATTTTTATTTTATTTTTTGGGTTGGGTTGGCTTGTAGAATCAATTTTAAGCAGAATTTGTACGATGCTTTGATTCCTACATTTTATGTAGTTTTTTTGTGATTTTTATGCAGATTTTTTATTTATTTTTTTTAATTTTATGAGTTTTTTTATTTTGGGCGGGCTGGCCCGCAACCCGCCAGCCCATTCATAAAACGAGGTGGGTTGCTTAGTTTGGCCCATTTTATCAAAACGGGGCGGGCTGACCGGGCCCATTTTGGGCGGGCCGAGCCAGCCCGTATTGCCATCCCTATCGCCACATACATGCTGGAGGGCGACGCACACGAGTGGTGGATGAACACCTCTCAGGCATATGAGATGCATGGTTATATTATGACGTGGCCGTTCTTTGAGGACTGCTTTTTGGGCAGATACTTTCCCTATGATGCGCAGGAGATGAAGCAGGGGGAGTTTGATAGATTGGTGCAGGGCTCGATGTCTGTTGACGAGTACCTGGCCAAGTTTAACGAACTTGTGAAGTTCGCCCACTTTCGGATGGATGTGCCCACTCCGACCTTTTTGGCTGCTAAGTTTCGCAGAGGACATAATGAGGTGATTGCAGAGCATATTGCTGGAGCTGCATCGAGAGATTTTGGTACACTGGTACAACTGTGTAAGGACATTGAGGATGTCTGCATTACGAGTAAGGCCAAGAGGGCCAAGATTGCTGAGACGAAGGGAACTAGTAGTTCCACTTCCTGGAAAGACAGGAAGTTTGCTGGAAAGGGAAACAGGAAGCAGTTGGCGGCTAGGCAAGCGCCAAATCAGTTCAAGAGGACTACGACTCAGGGGAGTACAACGAGACCTCCTACTCCCAGATGCACGGGATGTGGGAAGGTCCATCTGGGGCCGTGTGCTACCGGTCAGACTATATGTTTCCAGTGTGGCAAGGAGGGCCACTATGCTAGAGAGTGTCCGTCGTCGACGGTGAGAGCTGCAGCGATTCAGACAGTTCCGTTACAGATTGTTCCTTTGACTGCTACAGCAGCACCCGTTGTGTCACCAGCCACTGGGCGTGTGTACACTTTGGATCGTCAGTTGTCGGACCGAGCTCCGAACCTTGTCAGAGGTACTGTTTCCTTTGGTGGATTACTGTTGATATTTTGTTTGATTCCGGGGCTACGCATTCTTTTGTTGCAACCGTGATTGTTGTTCGCCTCTCTGACGGCGTCCAGATAGCCTGGTTTGCCATTCTCATGGCCTCCTGGTCGGCTACACGAGCCGCCTGCATATCAGCCAATGCAGCCAGGACAGGATCAGGTTGATCCCCGCTAGTGTCTCGGTTCCTCCGAGGTAGTACCATGACTCTGCACAAGTTACACAAAGAGTGAGTTGATCAGGCCCACGCAATGTGGTCACATATGCATCATCATAACAAAACCTAATGGAGAGAACGCACAGACATGACTCACAACAATACATCCTAAGTTATTCAATACGTACAGGTTTTTCCCTAGAAAGTGCTCTGATACCACTTTTAACGCCCGACCGCTTCAAGAATCAATGACTATCCCCACATATTAACACGAGACTTTCCAGTGTGCTTTTTCCTCACTCGCACACTTCCTGGGAAAACTTCCCAGGAGGTCACCCATCCCAGAATTGCTCCAAGTCAAGCACGCTTCCGTTCCGGGCTACCGAAAAGAAGATGCATCTTGTTAGTATAGGTAGTACCAATTAATTCTTATAAGTCATTCCCAACTGTACCATCCCATACCAGCACAGTCTTTGGAATCCCTCTCTTTCGGGTGTTGATTCGATTCATTCATGTACCCCCGTCGCTGGAAGCCTGCCAGGAGCCGCTCCTTATCTATGCCCTTTCGCACCGGCGATCACTCCCCGCCCTCGTCAGCGCTCGGGATGTTACATGCCTACCAGCTTCCGCCTGGTTCGTCCTCGAACCACACCGTACTAGAAGAGAGGCCCTGCTCTGATACCATAAAATGTAATACCCCGTATATATCTGATTTGTTATCATATCATCGTATTAAGCCACGCTTAATTTAAAAATGCGAAATATCTTTTTCTTTTCAATTATGACGTCATTATCATTAGCAAAGTTGAATTACTTAATTCATTTCAAAAAACATCGCCTGTATGTACATTGCAAAAGACAGCTAACTGAAATACCTCAATGTATAAATAGCATAAATGTGTCTCTAGTCACGAAATTACAACACGTAGACCGGACAACCCTGATAGTTTATACAACTCAAGTTCCAAAATAGTGCAATGCAGCAAATAATCATGTCATGTGTGTTATAACAATTCTACTGATCAGAGAAGTGCAAGAATACGTCTATTACCCACACAGTACCAGCCCATGCTGTACCCGGCCCCAGGACCACCCCATGGCTTCCTGGCTAGGCGAAACACCACATACATATTATAAGCATTTTGCACTTAACAGCTCCATAACTTTTCAATAAAACAGTACATGAAAACACATCATGCATATAACCATCCCCCCCATGGGACATGGTGGAACAAACAATGGCTAAGCCGATGACACGAAAGCTTACCTTGCAAGCTAATAATCCAAGCCAAGAGTCCACACAAGCTCAAGGCCCACAAACAACACAATCACAATCTGTTTATACAATAATTAATCATCAATAATCATTGCTCAAGATTACATTAAGTGATTAAGGCTTCCTAACTTATTTTAACTCATTTCATGTTGTTTCTGCAAGAGGTATTCGAATACTACACGATTAGTATTTATATATATATATATATATATATATATATATATATATATATATATATATATATATATATATATAAGGGACATGATATACTTACCACAAAAAAAGTTTACCACTTTTACAACTAACCTAATCTCCGTTGATTTCTGTCAATCTAACGGTTATAATTTATTGTATCGCATTTATTAGTTATTTATTAATTCTCAATAAATTCAATAAATTATAACCGTTAGATTGACGGAAGTCAACGGAGATTAGGTTGATTGTAAATGTGGTAAACTTTTTTATGGTAAGTATATCCTTTATATATATATATATATATATATATATATATATATATATATATATATATATATATATATATATATATATATATATATATATATATATATGTAGTGTACTTTATAATAGTGAAAATAAGACTATCATAATGGACCGGATATGTTCCATTCTTAATTAGCCCTTTTATCCTGATATTTATTTATTTATTTATTTTGGTAAATCCTGATATTTACATCTTAAAAAGAATTTTAAGAATATAATTTTATGCTATTTTAAATAAAATGATCCTACTTTAATATATATAAATATATATATATATATATATATATATATATATATTTGTTAAACTTTTATCTACTTACCTCCACAAAACAAGGAGAGAGAAAGAAAAAATATTATGAGAGAAAATATGTATCAAAATATTATAATTTCCAAACTTGTGTTTTTTAAAGTTTAAAATAATTTTCTCTTAAATAATTTTTTTAATTTTTATTTTAAATAATTTTTTAATTTATATTCTAAATAAATTTTTAATTTATACTTAAAATATAGAGAAAATTGTGTGTATTTTAAAGTATGTAAAGTTGTGACATTTTAAGAAAGAGATAGATAAAGGAGGAGAGAGAGTTGACAAAAAAAAATAAAGGTATGGGTCCCACCTCTTTATGTGAGAGAGAAAGGAGATAAGTTATGTCATTTAAAAGGATAAACACTCTTTCCTAAAATATATTTTTAATTATAAATTTTTCTTTTAAAACTGTCTTCCGGCAAAGACAGGAACATTAAAGTCCTCGCTGTTCGCTTCTCTCTCTCTCTCTCACTCGCGGCTTTGAGGTTCATAGCGGGGTCACTAGAAGGTACTGTTCTTGTCACTCTCCTATCTGGATCCCCAAATCTAGGACTTCTACTTCTCTGCAAAATTTGTCGAATCAGTGCCTTTTTTTTTTGTTTCGTTATCAAATCTAGATTTGGAAGCTCAGTCTTCGTTTACTTCCATCTTTGACCTCGTATTTTGCTCACTTCACTGTGCTGATTGTAATAAATTCCTTCTCGTATTTGTGAATGCGTACTTTGGGTCTTTGAATGCTTTTCTTGATCTTAGTTATTTTGTTTAATTTTCAGCAGTTATGCCCATTTTTTCTTTTAAGATGTGAAGAAGGATGTTTGTTTTGTTCCATGTCTGTGTTCTATTTATTGAGTTTGAACTTGAGTGGCTACCTTCCCGTTTCGGTTTCAGATTTGTGATAGCATCTAGCAGTGATTGTTATGTTAACTTTAATTTTGTGGGGGTTGCATGAAATTGACTTTATTGTGAGGCTAGATATATTGACTTCAACTCTTGTGTGTCATGAATGTGCTTTTCAGTGTATATTAATTCTCATTTCAGATTTAAATTTTTTAATAAATTCTTGAATTTCTATTTTGGGTAGAGAAATGAGTCAAATGAGGGGAACCGTATTCTCAGCGGCCCCAGATTCTTGAAATTCGATTATAAGATTTGGGAGACATTTTATTTGTTTTATGTGTGTGATAGTTAGAAATGTCTATTTTATTTGTTCAATTGCCTGTGTGCTATGTCCTTTTTTCTTGATGTATATTTGTATTGATTTACTCCTTTAATCAGTCTATGCTGCATTTATTTAGGTTTCAAAAGATGGACAACATGCACAGCTTCTGGCAATTGGGTGATGAGCTTCGTGGACACTCTAAAGCATCAGAGGATCACAAATGGTTAATGGTTGCTTCTAAATTGGCTGAGCAGACAAGATTGAAGGGGGAGCGTATGAATAACCTTGATCTTTCAAAGGGCCTCATTGAATCAAGGTCAAGGGATAAATTTGGGTTCCAGGAAGAGAACAAATTTGACACTCTTAACTTAAGCATGTTAAACCTGGACTCTAAAATTACTGAAAATGTGAGCAAAAACTCGCTTCGAAATGGTGTTTACAATATTAATGCAGTGTACCAGAAAAACAATGCAAACCTGGTGAGTAACATGAACAGTAACAAGTATGCTGTTAATATTCAGCACAACAAAGAGTCCAACAACAATAACAACAACAACAATGAAAGCAACAACTCAAATGCAGCTGACAAAAGGTTTAAGACCTTGCCTGTAGCAGAGACACTTCCACGAAATGAGGTGCTTGGAGGATACATCTTTGTCTGTAATAATGACACCATGCAGGAAGACTTAAAACGTCAGCTATTTGGTGTGTGCACATGAAGTGTAATCTATTTTTCTATCTTGAAGATTGTTAATCAAATGCATTTTGAGGTTTGACACTTCCAATTTTTTTTGGTAGGTTTGCCTCCAAGGTATCGCGATTCTGTTCGGGCAATAACACCAGGGTTGCCTCTATTTCTGTATAACTATACCACTCATCAGCTGCATGGCATTTTTGAGGTTGGCTATTCTTAGTTTCTCTTGAATACAGTTAATTATGTTGTGAACCAGACTCTGGTGGAAAGTACTGTATTTTATGGCTATGAAGGATCAAAATTATGTCCTTTGTTTACATGATATTTGTAAGAAATGAGGCTAACTACAATTCGTCAGGGGGAGCCACTACACTTGAGAACATTTGGGTGCTATGATAATTTATGTGGCCCAAGAACTAGTGTGCTGTGCCAAACAGATTTTATAGGCATGGAAATATCATCTCTATATTGGAAATTACGAATATTCTTCTGTCACCGTTACTTATACAATTAGAGGGGGGTGAAATGTTTTGGAATTTATTGAGTCGCTAGTGAGGGATACCTAATTCTTAGTATGGAAATGACTTTGTTCAAATTTGGTCTCTATTGTTTTTGTTTTTCTCCATTACATGGGTATGCTCTTCTGATTAGATATTGGGAATCTTATATCTTTAAAGAGATGTAGATACTTTCTTTTCTAGCCTCCTTTATTATTATTATTATTATTATTTACTAACAGAAACATCAATTCAAATAACTTGAGTGAGGTTGAAAAAGGAAAAAAAGTTGATGATAGACGAAATGAATTTTTTTTGATTCGCTTACTTTTTAAGTCCTTTGATGCAGGCAGCAAGTTTTGGGGGCTCTAACATAGATCCAACTGCATGGGAGGATAAAAAATGCAAAGGCGAGTCAAGGTTTCCAGCTCAGGTAGAAACTAGGATTTTGGAATAGGAGAGTCCATATATTAATTTGTCTGTAAGATGTTGAATGAATGATATTTTGTTCCTCATCTACGTACGTAGGTAAGAATCCATGTCAGGAAACTTTGCAATGCATTGGAAGAAGATGCATTCAGGCCAGTATTGCATCATTACGATGGTCCAAAGTTTCGCCTTGAGCTGTCAGTTCCAGAGGTATGATGGAATATTGCTGTTTTCATCTGGAAGGAAAAAAAATATTTTTTGGATATTGATTTCTCACCGTATGTTTCTGTCTCTCCCTCATTCTCTTGTTGATGGGGGTGGGATTTATGATTTGATTTTGCAGACCCTGGATTTGTTGGACCTATGTGAGCAAGCTGGTTCGGCAGCATAAGCAAACAACGGAATATCCAAAATAGTAGGTAGGTTTTGGTGTGCCAACTGTGTGCTTTTGCCAGATTTTCCATGGAAAGCGTAAGCTTGGAAAAGTAGTTTGTTTGGCAAATCATTTTGGAGGAAGTGTTGAGAGTTTGAGACCCTTCTCTGAATAAATGTTGTGTTGTCCACGAAGATGCTTTGTAGCTGTTGCATGACATTTATAAGTACAGCTTCTCTATAACATCATAGAGACGACTGTTTGTACTTGTAAAGCATTATGCATTTCTGTTAAACCAAAAAAGAAAATAAATAAATAAATTTAAGTCACTAGGAGTGGAGTAGATTAGTGCTGAGGGACTTGGGTACTTTGAGGTTATAGGTTCAAACTATCATTGAATCTCAAAAAAAAAAAAAAAATTGCAAAAGCTTTATTGTGTTTCTAAACTATTTATTGAGTTGGCCGAAGTTATCTTTTGTTTAATCTCCAGTCAAAATTCAAAATCACAGAAAGAATTTGAAGAGTATGATTGGAATCAAATATTATAAGAATTGATTTGGTTTAATGTGGGATCCATCATTTTTAAAAAATAAAAATGAATCACAACTTGGAAAAGTGAAATTTGTCATGCAACATGACATATATGCTTTTTTTTTTTTTTTTTTTTTTATGTATGTAACTTCATTTAAAATGTAACTATTCATCAAGAAGAAAATAAGATTTCTTTCTCATTTTATAAATTTAACACAAATGACAAGCAACATTATTGGACTAATTTATTTCACCGCAGCAATCCTGTGTCAATACTGTTTTAACTTCTTTAATCACTTAAGAAAGATGTGTAAATTATTCTAACAGAATCATAAATTCTAATAATTTTGCCATTCTTTTTATAAGTCAGGAAATCAAAATGAAATTTTTTATAAAATTGAAATAAAAATAAAATGTAAGTTAAATGAATAAAGGCTCTTTTTTAATTTAAACTTCAATAAAATAACGTAATTAAATAAAACAAATGCCAAAATTTAAATAAAATAACAAGGACATTGATTGTATTACCCCTTTTATGAGAACAATTTACCTAAATGTCACAATTGAAAAAATATACCACACTGTCATGGTACCATAGTCGCTGAAATACTCAGCTACTATGGACAGGACATGTGGCACTTCCCCGGTGGCTGGAAAAGACTAGTAGGCCTAGTTGTCCAAAGTAGCTACTTTATGTAGCAACTTTGGGTTGGGTGAGTCGCGCGTCACTCATTTGATCAAAGTAGCCATGGTATGTAGCAACTATAGTGTACTTTTTCTGAAATGGCAGGCCTATGAATCAAAGTCGTTGGGTAAGGAAGCTAATTGGGCCTACTACAGGTGGTGTAGAAATTTTGCAGGACCAGTGATAGTATTATAAAGCGACTTACAAACATACCAAAATTGTTCAGTGATATCTATGTTATTTTCGTCCGTAAGAAGCCTTTCTATTTCCAGTAGTGTCATAAGAAGCTATTTTTTTACTGTTCTCGGTGTTGTTTTGTTCTCTAATGAGAATGTTTTCTATTTTCGGTATCTTCAATGGAAGTGGTGGTTACATATTAAAATTTTAACCTCTTTCTAGTTATTTCCTTTTTCATCTAATTTCATATTAGGAATTTGTATTTCTCCCACGTGTTTTTTTCCTTCGTCATTCTGAAATTTCCAGTTCTCTGTCATATCACTTTCCTTTTTTGTTTGGGTACATATTTTAATTTTTATCCGTGTTATTTTCCTGGCTCTGTTATTTTTTAAAATGGGTGACGAAAATGATTCAATTGTTGCTATTTTATTTTATAATGGAAGGAGATATTTTGGTACTAGTGGTCAAGTTTTTGAAAGAGACACAAAAAGGTTTCGCATGAACTCTCGATGTAGTTTTCATGATTTGAAGAAGATAATATACAAGAAGTTGAGATTACAACGGGGCCAACATCTGTCTCGGTTGACTGCGAGATGCACTTCTGGTAGAGAGAGTTGGGTTACTGCGGAGATTGTCGAGGATGAAGATGTCGCACTAGTAGTAGATGCATTTAAAAATGACACAAACTCGACATTTATTGAAATGTATGCGAAAGTTGACTCTGGTGGACAGTCTAGCAGTCAACATTCTCTCCCTTCCATTCACTCAATCAACATGAACAACCAATAAGTGTACACTAACCTCATGGTTGCGCAGCCTCACAACCTCATAGAAGCCAGCCTGTCTCAAATACGGCACACTTTCATCAAGAATATTATGGGGATCATGCGTGCATGCATGTCTAACACCCCAATTGCAATGCTCCACGCCATTCCACACATAAGTGAATATGTATTTCTCCTACAAAGTCATGAGAATGCGGTCAACAGGTCCTGGGGTAATCTGGCAATGAGGTGATCCCGGAAAGCCAGGAAGTGTTCCGCATTGATGTGACTGTTAGTATAGTTGAGTTGAATTATATAAATGCACCAATAAGAAACATTGGAAATGCTAATAGAACAGGGTCAGCAGGTGGTAGGTTATCATTACTGCATGGATCATATGGGCGGATTCTCTGATCGGTGGGTCATTACATCTGGGGCCCTGAGGACAGCAAGAGCTCGAGCGGTTAAAACCTGTGAATGTTGTTACCCACTGTATTGAGAGAGTTCTTCCATGTGATTAACGCAAAATATGAGGTCAGATATTTGTAAATGAACAATAATATGTCAGATTTGGATATAGGAGGTGATACATAGTGTGTAAGAATTTAGAAATGTGACAGTGAAGCACTATTGTGGGTGTAAAGTAAGTTCGAGGAAATAATATCGGCTCCAAGTGAGGTAGTAAGTGTGTTGGAATTCTCGCCTTACGATAAAGGAGATAATAATGTGATTTAATGTTGACGGATGGAGTAAGTGTCCTTCTAGGAAGGCTAGTGATGATCAAGAGTTTAGGTTAAAACGGTGAATTATAAGCCCTTATAAAAGGTAAACTGTGATGGAATCAAGCACGTATGTGTAATAATAGTTGGAAACTAGAGTTGCGATCGGTTGCCTAAAAGTTGATAGCTTGGTTGTACTGATATAGTGGATTGAGGAGCGTTATATATATAATCGCATATGCCACTTATGGTGGAAAGTGTGTGGAAGATGCACAATGTTAATGTTGTTTTGGTTAAGTATTAATGAGGTATGGCTGAGTGTTTGTGGTAGCTTTGAATATTCCGAGAGAATGATATACCAATCGGTGGGGAATTGTATAAGTAGTGGCAATGATGGATTTAGTTTTATGTGACTTGATAATTAAGTTTCAAAGATTCCTATAGGATGAGACTTGCATGTGAGAGACATGGCATTTTAAGGGTCCATCAGTTAGTAGTGAAATGGGTTTGGAAAATGATTCGTCCCAAGGAGGTTGGTAAAACTGTAAGGTGATATTATTTTGAGTTTGACATCCAGGATTAAATGACGATGATTACAAAAAAGTAGTATAAATAAGTGGAACATATGGTTAAGTTGCAACATCGGAGTGGAATGAAAGTTGAAAATAGTTAGTGGGAGAAAATATTAAGCATGAGGCCTTGATGTGGAGGTCATTGATGAGTGTTGTGTTTAGACTATGAGAGGTCTAAGTGTGGAGTTGAGCTGAATGAGTTGATAAAGTTAAGATGGTTAAGTTAATAAAGAGGGTAACAATGAGTGTAAATTAAGAATATGAGTTTGTAGATGGAAAAAATTCAGGAGTGTGTTTGTGGTTAAAGGACCATAAATGGTTAATCGGAAACATAAACTATTGTGAGGATTGTTAGTTTCGTATCACAAAGAGAAAGATATAGTCGTGAGTACCTAAGAAGAGGTGAAGACACGTGACAAGGAAAATAAAGTATATGAGTATAGAATTTAATGTGAGTCGGAATTGTAGGACACAACAAATTGCCTTTGGAACTAGAAAGTATGTGCTTGGGTGAAAGCCAAGAAAGCAACGAAATGGTATGGGTAGTAACATCAGTGAAAAAGACTGGTACAAAAGAGATGTCAGGTATGGTTGAAACAGTGAGGACAACGAAAAGAGTTAAGTACTAAAGAACATGTGAGTTGGAAATACTCCAGGAATAACTAGTGAATGTGCATGAGAACGGTTAGATCCTAGTATGGAGACGATTACATGCTTTTGGGAACGACATTGGGTCAGAAAGATAGATAGAAATGAGAATGAGGTGAATTGATACCAATAAATCTGTAATATGGTTATGTTATTACCTAAAAATTAGCGAAAGTGAAACGATAAACCAGAGAAAGTGTAAAGTATTGTGAATTAAAAGGTCACAGAACCATGAAAGACGAGTAATTGTGAAGGGTCAAAGGATAATGATTATCACGAAAAGGAGACTATGTTTATGGTAAAAGTAAAATGGTAAAGATACACACTTGAGGTTGCTACTTGGGAACAGGAAGATGAGGTTCTCCGGCTGTATCCTGAGTTAGCGGACGAGCATGAGTTAATTTTGCGGACAAAATTCTAAAAGGTGGGGTGAATATAACACCTCACATTTCTAAATCAAATATTAAAATATTAAGTGAGCAATTACGTGAAGGATTAGTCAAAAAATCCTGAAGATTAGGCCAAAATACAAAGAAAGGGAAAAATTGTAATTAGCCATGCACACAACCCTAGGAAGATAAAAATTGAGTAGAAGGTCTCAGATGATAAAAATAACCCTGGAAATGGATCCAGAACGAAAAATTGAGTGGATAGGAAGGTTTCAGAAAAATCAGTGAATAATGTTTTTCGCGGGAAAAAAACCGCGGTACAATTGCACCGTAAAATGTGCCAGTTGAATTTTGAGCTCTAGGTTTCAAATATGAGTTATAAATGGTCTATAAAACCAGGAATTATGATTTCTGATAATATTTGATGGAATTAAGTCAGTTTGGGGAAGCGTGTCAACGGCGCGCGCAATAGCTTAAAACAGTGTTTTTTCCAAACGACCGGAAAAATCCGGATTCATCTGACCAAGTATAATTAAAGGAGAATAGTTAATGTTAAAAATTAGAGTTTTTAAATAGGTTTTGAATTTACGGACGTTTAGTGAAAGTTTAGACGCGTTTTAAATCACATGAGGTGGCGTGGGACCCACCCCACTTAAAAATCCACTTATCCACCTCATCACCACTATTCATCATCACTCTCTTCCTTCTCCTTCAGCTGAAACCCGCGCCATCCCCCTCTCCTTCACCAAGTTTTCTTCAAAACTTTCTCCCTCCATTAAACACTCATCCAAGCACCAAATCCAACAAAGTTTGACTTGAATTTTGTTGGAAATTGTCTTCCAAAGCCATTGGTGCTATCCTTGAACCGTGAAAGTGACTAGTTTTTGAGATCTTTCCCCTCAAAGGCCGTGGCTCACATTGGAGTTAGGGTGTTCTTGGAGCTTCCAAGTGCTCCAATGG